CAGCTCTGGGGCCCCCAGAGTAAGAAAGACATGGACCAGAGAACAGCCATGAAGATGATCAGGAGGCTGGAGACCTCCCCTATGAGAACAGGCTGAGAGAGTTGGGGTTGTTCAGCCTGGAGAAGAGCAGGTTCTGCGGAGACCTTAGAGTGGCCTCCCAGTACTTAAAGGGGGCCTGCAGGAAAGATGGGGAGGGATTTTTTACCAGGGAGTGTGGTGATAGGACGAGGGGTAATGGTTTCAAACTGAAAGAGCATAGATTTAGATTAGGTATTAGAAAGAAATTCTTTCCTATGAGGGTGATGAGACACTGGACATGTTGCCCAGAGCAGCTGTGGCTGCCCCCTCCTTGGCAGTGTTCAGGGCCAGGGTGGATGGGGCTTTGAGCAACCTGGTCTGGTGGAAGGTGTCCCTGTCCATGGCAGGGGGTTGGAACTAGATGATCTTTAAGGTCCCTTCCAACCCAAACCATGCTATGATTCTATGATTCTATAACAATTATGTCATCTATAATGTCGTTACAATACACAATATGCAGGTCAATTGCATATATACTTCACACTTTATTGAAATTAGACGGAACACATTTACTAATGTGTTTCCTACAAACTCCTTACACCCTCCCCAAGGTGAGTTAACACAAAATTTTTTCTTACCTAAACATCAACGATGTTATATGTCACAAACGAATCCAAAGTATTTATATTCAATATTAAGTCTGGGGGGTTTTGGTTTTTAAATTTTCAGATCTTTTCCAACATTCATTGAATTTATGCCCTACATATGGTAGAATCATAGAATCGTTTAGGTTGGAAAAGACCTTTAAGACCATTTAGTCCAATTGTAAACCTAACACTGCCAATTCCACTACTAAACCATGTCCCTATAAGCACCACACCTACACCTCTTTTAAATACCTCCAGGGATGGTGACTAAACCACTTCCCCAGGCAGCCTGTTCCAATGCTTGACAGCCCTTTTTGTGAAGAAAGGAAATGGATGAGAAGTTCATAAGTTTTATACCCAAGATATACGGAAAAAATATACCTTAAAAAGATAGTAGGATTTTAAAGCATTTTTATACTTCTCCAAATGGTGATCTAATACTTTGCAATGAACAAAGAAAACAATGCCTGTATTTATTATTCATTCTCTTGCATATGTAACTTGAAGAATAGCTTTCCCTCTCAGAATCACAACTGCCACTCTGGCTTACAAGTCTGAGCTCAAATTTCCTTGTTTAATAATGTTCATGAAAGTTTTCAGGTCAGCTGGGTAGCTGCTTCACCTGCATCACATTCTAAGTGACAGCTGGCACTTGCCAAATACCTATATACCTACCTGTCTCTCTCTTTTTGCTAATTCTGCAAGGGTTGTTTTAAGCACTTTCATCTCACTAGTAACTGCTTCTAACATATTTTTATTTTTTTCTTTGTCTTCAGTAGCTTTACGGTCCTTTAAAAGAAGTTCTGATTTGACAGACGTAAGTTGTTTCTCAGCCTTTTCTTTCATTCTTTCCAATTTGCCTTGAGATTTATTGAGCTCTTCTATCATTCTGTTCTGCTCCAAAGTTTTGATCTGCAATAACATAATGTGAAATTTGTCACATGTTTTCATCTAACATGAACAAATAATAAAAATATCAGGAGTAATCATGAGTAAGCACTTTAATGTGGTTTCTTACAGGTTCTTGATGAAATCACACGTACCTGTGAACTGAAAAGTTACTAAAGGAGACTGGCCAATTTCAACTCAATTAACAAAAAGATTTTTGTTTCAAACACAGTATATTCTCTGCAGATTTTGTGAAAAGAGGTAACTGGACAGAAAAAAACCCACAGTGAGAGTCCACTCTCTGTTAGCCCCTGGAAAAATAGTATGAACAAGAGTTGCTGAATGTTTTGATAGTAAAAATCGTTCAGTTGGAACATGCACCTACCTATCTATCTACTTCACTCCATCAGCTACAAGACACAAACTCACATAAAATTAATCTTCCTGTCTTCCAGCAGTGGCAAGCTATCAATGACTGCAAACTACTTGTATTCACCTGAGTTAAAGCAGGTAATTTATTACTGCTACAATGTAATAAAACACAGGAACAATGAAAATTTAGTATCTTGCCTGTTCTATGTGGGAAAAAACCCTTTTTCCCCCATACTATCAGGATAGATGTTCTGTGAGCAACATATGGGAAAATATAAGATTACAGCCATATCAACAGGAAAGAAAGGGATGCATATATTGTATTTTTTACACTAGCCTGAAAATTTGCATTGTGCTTTACAGATACTACTTCGTATATCAAGACAAATTGCAAAATACCCAAAACATTGGAATATTACACTTGCTTTCTCCACCTAGATAGATTTGACCAGTTCTCCATAAACACAGTTATTGTAAATGAACTCCAGCTGTATCCAACTAGAAGAGAAAAATGGATAGAAGCACAAATGTAACCTCTTAACTCACCTTAAGTTCATTGGTTTCAGACAGCTTGGCTTTGAGATCAGTATTCGTTTCCTTTGCCAGATCAAGCTGCTTCTGTAACCTCTCTATCATCTTATGCAACTTTCTGACAGCAAGATTGGCCTCATCCCTCTCCACAGCTAAGGCAGTCCTTACTTGCTTCTCTTCTTCCAGCTGGGTTATTTTCTGCCGCAGAAGGTTCATGTGCAGCTCTTTGCTTTCAAGTTTTGCTTTCTGAGACTTCAACTAGTTTTCCAAACACAAGGATATTTGAAAAAAATATGTGTGAAAGGCAATGGTACTACACAGATTTGTTTTGCAAATTTAATCCCCATGTTGCATATTTAACCCGAACTCCTATTCCTCTCTTGAGAATTCCGTAAAGCATTATAAACATGTATATGCTAACTTGATACCTCTTGTATTACCAATTCTTTGTGCTTCTACATCCGTGAATTTGTGCACTACCTTTTAGAAATAATCTACATGCAGGCTGCACCCTATTTGAACATAAATATTTGTGCATCATTCACAACATTTGAGATTGTCTGAGGTATCAAGACACCAGTCAAATGCAAGAGGGAAGAGAGATTCATTAAGGAGACAGTGGTTTCCATGGTGGTAGTTTAAGGTATTTCCTTCTTTAATAGGTTAATTAAGGCTAGTGTGCGAGAAGTAGAATCAACATACAGAAATAAGAAAGCTTTCATCCACTGCTCCAATACGAGGTCCCGCAGCTTAGTTTTGTAATTTTGCTGCTCAGTGAGCTACCTGTTTTCAGTTCACCTGAGCTGAGCTGCCAGACTCTATTCTGGAACATCTGAGGAGTATTAACATATGTACTGTACGCCCTGATAGTGAGGCAGTTGCTTCCAGAAAAAAATACAGTGTTGTTTTAAACCTTAAACAGACCCAATACTAAGCTCTAAATCATTCCGATAAGCCTAAAGCCAGAAGATTTCACTCTGTCACAACAGGATGACACAGGGGTGTCTGACCAAATTTGAACAGATTTGCTCCTAAAGGAGCACAGCTCTTGTTGGAAATGTTGACACTCCTGGTGAATTACAACCAATGTCCTACTAGTTTCTAGAGAAGTTTGTAAGGCGCACCCCCTTCCCAGCAGATCCTTTTAGATTTAAATATCGACGGTAATTGTTTACAGAAGTATATTACAAATGTGCATTAAAAAAGACATACAGACACAGATAAACATGTGTAATCTTCATACACTCATTTGAGAAGTTGTGAAAAGCAGTATTACGTGTTTAACTGAGTGGCAGTTTTAGCTGCACTAATACGCAGTCTGGTTGCGCTGTTTGCAAATGTTTACTATCTTCTTTTTATGTAATGGACATCTTTGAAATTCCTTGTACATACATGAAGCTCCAATCTGCTGCCTCTAGCAAGCCACTGTAGAAATACAGCCATAACAATGTTTATCTTTGAAACAAACAGTTAACATTATGTCTTTTTTGCCTACCTTCCTTCTTAGGCTATATGCCATAGTCTTGTTTTCAATCACTGCATCACCTTCCAGTTTCACTAACTGCTCTACCCGGGCTAGAATTGCATCCACATTCATATCAAATCCAACCTCTGCTGCTAGGCTATCCAGCTTCATCTTCTCATTAAGTTGTTCCAGAAATTTGAGATACTAAGACAGGATGTGGAAAAGTGGGCAAAAGAATAATAAAACTTCATTAAAAGTCCTGAAGTACAATTTAAAAGCAATTCCCCCTACACTGGCAACTAACTATGCATAGTCAAGTCCACAATCCACAAGAAATAATGTTTAGAAAAACATTTTGTATATATATATGTTTATATAACTATATATGTGTTTATAGTACACACTCCTGACAACTGCAAATTCTGCATTTGTCCCTTTTTAGTCAACATTTATTTTTTCCATAAATCCCTGGACCTACTGTATTTATCTTCTTAGCAAGACCAGACTCTGTTTTGTTCCTCTGCAGTAAGAAGGGTACTAGGTATGTATGTCTGCTTCTGATTCCATTTCCTGTCTGTGGCTCTGCTGTTCTACATAATCATGCATTGGCAGGGAGAAGTCAGAAAGGATGGCTACGTCCCAACTAATTGCAAGTGCTGTGACTGCCCACTGCCATGAGCAATAAAGCAGATATAACTGGTACCAGGGATGCCACGGGTGAGATCCGATGTAGTCTGAGGCAGCGCAGGAATGTTAACAGGGTCAGTCTTCCACCCTTCTTTGGAACAGCAAGTTTTAGAGATAACAGTTACTGGCTTACAAATTGCTTTAAAGATTATTTTAATTGCATCTGCATCTGGTTTACTGATGTGAGCACATATCACGCATTATTTAGTCTGGTTTTCATTTCTTTTATCCTGCCCTGATAGCTCTTTAAAACTGCATTAGTTCCTTGGTCTCAATTAGCCTTTCTTACAAAATCCAAAGCTCTCCTTCTCACTAAGAACTACATTTGCTTTTGTTTCCTCTTACTTCTGTTGCAGGTCATAATCTGCTTCTGATAATAATACAATTCATAATATGTTTCTGATTCAAAAAGTTAAAACCAGCAGCAGTAGAAGAAAGTGCTGACGTTGTTCATTAACAGAAAAAAAAAAATCACAACAAAAATCTCTACTGCAGCAAAATCTAGAGAGAAATTAAGAAACTAGGGCCACATGTTCTTCACCAAGGAAGCAGAGGGAAACAGCTCCATTTTCTGGTTTGGTCCTGATCTGGTGGATGCTTCATTCATAAAAGTTATATTATAGACTAATGCAAAACACTTAGCACCAAACTGCTGATTCTTTGCCATTCCAACTTTCTAAGCATCGATCTTGGCCTGGTAACATGCTACAGCTTTGTCTTTCTTAGCTGTATCGGATCGCTGGTGTAGGTTTCCAGGTACTATGTCATTTTTCAAACTCTTAGCATGCAGATGTGTTATAGGCTAACAGTGTGTTCGTTCACACAATTAATAAAAAAATCCTGGTAGCCTTGATGGTCTAAGGATATAAAAGAATCAAGGACTGCAAGATCTTGAGAGACTGCAGACCAGATGATATATTAGAGAAAGATGAAGAGATCAGAGAAAGCTTTGAGATCAGAGAATCTTTGAAGGATCTCCGATGTTTTTATGGAGACTTCTTTTAATCTGAGGTTTTTTCACATTAAATGGATTTTGAACTCAAAAGCTTAACTACTTTTTCAAACTAAAATTGTTGGTCAAAAAAAGATACTACTACTCCCTACATGATGCCTGACTTTGCTGATTCGCATTACTTGCAGTACTGTGCATAACACTCCAGCTGATCAATGCAACAAAATTAGCTGTATCTCTGAATTTAGTGACTCCTATGCAAAAGAAAAAAAAAAATGCATGCAACTACTTTTTGTTTCTCGAGCTTCAAACCATCTTGCAGCAGATCTGCAGCCAATAATTCCTCTTCCAGCTGTTTCAGTTGATCCTGGAAAGTCTCAGAACACTTTTCAGCTTTCCTGCTCCTCTCCAGAGCTTCCTGGTACAATCTGGTCTGATTTCCCACAGCTTCAGTCAATTTAGCTATTTGGGTTTCAAGCTGAGATACTATCTAGGGAGCAAGCAAACCAACAAAACATACAGGATTAGGTAAGTGTGGAATGTTAGAAAGATATGAAAGATGCATCCTCAAATTGTTAAAAAGAGGGTGAAATATCTGTCTTTAAAATACATGCATTTAAAAACACAAAAAGGTAAAAACCTGCTGTATGTAAAAATCACCAGGAGAAAATTGCAGAAGTGGCGACATGTGAGACACCCAAAAGTGAACAGCAGAAACCGTATTTAAGGTGATCCAGTTGACTAAAAGGGGCAAGTATCTATAAAAAAATTAATACAAACTAATTCAGACATAGACTTCCCAAAGATGTTAACAAACCAGCAATACCTGGCAGTCAACTAACATTCTATAAAATAAGCCAATAAAATCACTAGTCTATCATGGAGCTGAGTGGAAAAAACAGATAAATGATTCAGAAAATACGTGCAGCGTGTAGCTGAGAATGTAGATATGGATAACTAAGTCTCAGAGAAGTGCTTCCAAATTATTAACTGTTATAGAGAGTTTAACTAAAAGATTTTGCTAAAATAATAATAATATAAAAGTAATATTTTTTCTGTAATCTAGCCAAAGCCCAAGGCTAAAAGGATAAAGCTCATAACAAGAAACTAGACTAACAATTCTGAAAACACTTATAGCTCTACACTATTAACTTTTCAATACCTACTACTTATAAATTAAATGCTTGAAAGCATCTGATTAAGTACTGCCAAATAGTGAAAGACAGTTCTATCCAAAAAGTTGCTTGCTTCCTTCTTCCCCTCTCTCCTTTTCTTACTGTCATATCATTATTTGTAATTAATTATGTTGTATTTGTAACTCAGTGTTCAGACACTCATCTCCAAGCAGTCTCGTCATTTTAAGCATGATTGCCTCCTGCTAATAAAACAAACAAGAAACACACAAAACTCCCATCAATTTTAATGGCACAGAAAGGTTTCCAACTTAGACTGCAATTAAATTCAAACAATAGTTTGCACCCAACCCACCTAAAAAACACTGAGAAATTACTGCTGCTCATACAGTGGTAGAAAACACTAAACAATAATAAAACTGCATGAACCCACACACATGTTTTATGCTTTTCTGCATCACATAT